TTTTTTGAACCTAGAAGAGTACAAGGCTGGCTGTGCACAAAGGCTATTTCTAAAAAAAAAAATGGGTAAATTCCGACTTTGCAATGACAATCTGGCGCAACTGAATCAGCGACTGTAAATATGTTTTGTTATTACTGTCAGTGGAAATTTAATAGACGTCTAACCATAGCCCAAGAATAGACTAGTTATCAAATAGACAGCTAATGAATGCCTACATATATACATCTATTAGACAACAAAATGGCAATCCATCCAAACAAATTAAATATACAGCTTTTATTAAGAAAAATACAATTTTTGACAACTTAAGACAATACAAAATGATAAAAACACAAAAGAATTAATGACAAAATAAAATGTTATAAATACAATACACTTAAATATAAATATTATGATAAAAGAAATCTGGAATTTTTAACAACTTAAGATAATAAAAATGAAAAAATAAAATATTTGAAATAACAAGATATTTTAAAGAAAAAAAATCAAGTCCAACTCTGTTGCTGCCGGGAAGTTGGTCATCACAGCATCTGCCAAATAAGAAGAAGAAGAAAAAAAAAAGCACAGAAAAGCTTGAACTAATTTTTACTTTAATTACACTAATTGTGACAGGGAGTCATTCTCTTTTGCTTGGATGTCTACTAAAAATAAAAATGAGATATATATAGTGTATCACCATTCAGTGTGCTAAAGAAGAGAGAAGCTCTCTGGTAAATGTTGTGTGTTTTATACACATACCTCTAATGACCGAGAACAGTGCTTTTCAAAAGCCTCTTTCTGCAGCGGACCACCCCCCTTCATGTTGAATTTGGACATGAGGGAATTTTTTTAAAACCCTAAAATATAATACAGATTGAGGTGGTTAACAATTGCAGACAAAGTTTGACATTTCAAAATGACCAGTAAAGGAATTATTTTTTAAATTTCTGATTTGCGTTGTAACTTATTGAGTATTGACACCACAATGTTTGATTAATGTGGCAAGATCTGTAGGCTTTACCTGTCCAGCATCCTTCTGGCACTGTCTTTGAGGTTTCTTCCTTCAACTCTGCACAACTTTGACACCTGAATAACACATGCCAATGTCAGGCGGGTAGTATTATATGCGTCCGTGTACGCGTGTTTACCAACCTTAAACACTGATGCCCATTGACCTGCAAG